CAGCAGTAGCAGCAGCAGCAGCGGATGACGGAGAGGAGGGGGGCCATCGAAAGTTGGTCCAGTCTCCAGCAACAGAGCTCACAGGCGATGGTGTTCCGTGGGGGAGAGAGTGGATGGTTGGAGACCCACTGGCAGTTTGTGGTCGCAACTGCAGTGTAAAAAAGTTGCTGCCGTAGCTCCCCTTGTGTGAGAGGGAGAGTGGGTGACTAGAAGCCACGGAACGGATGGCAGATGGACGGGCGAAAGCCCATGAGACCTGGACGGTTGGAAAAGAGGCGGCGGCAGAAGAGGAGGCCAGGCCTTGTTGTGGTGATAGAGCGCCAGCATCAGAGCCAACATCAGCATGAGCAGCAGCAGAAGAACCATCACCATCACCGGCAGCGGAAGCAGCAACAGCAGCAGCAGCAGCAGCAGTACCTAGGTCACGAGAAGTGGTGCAAACGACCTGAGCAGTCCAAACAGATGCACTCCCCGACCTCACTTTGCCACCTGTTCCCCCCTCACCACAGCCTGTTTGCCGCCCGACCAGCTCTCCGCCTGTCTCTCCCCCTACAGCCCTCCACTCGCCCACCTCCACACCAGCCCCCGTTAGGGTCACACTCTCCCTGGTCACCCCCACCACAGGTTCGGAGAACACCAGCACTGCAGACATCCGACCCTGGACTGCAGCTTTGGCAGCAGCCTCGGCAGCAGTTTTGGCGGAATCCTCTCCAGCAGCTGAAGATGCTTCAGGAGATTTTTCAGATGCCTCAGGGCAGCACAGAGTGCTGCCAGGAGTGGGCCAAGTGGCGAGCAGGCGGGGGCGCTGGAGAGGTAGTATCTGCTGCAGCAGCCAGCGCAGGTACATCCACCCGCTCTGGTCGTCCGGCTCGGTGAAGAATGCCTGGCGAACCAACTCAAACTCCGCATCTAGTGGGCCCTGACCCAAACCTCCTTCGGAAGCAGCAGGCCCAGGGGGTGGCTGAGAGTGGAGCTTGGGGAGCAACTTGCTGGCGGGGAGGGGGAGGGCAAGGGGGAGGGCAAGGGGAGGGCAAGGGGGAGGGCAAGGGGAGGGCAAGGGGGAGGGCAAGGGGGAGGGCAAGGGGGAGGGCAAGGGGGAGGGCAAGGGGGAGGGCAAGGGGGAGGGCAAGGGGGAGGGCAAGGGGGAGGGCAAGGGGGAGGGCAAGGGGGAGGGCAAGGGGGAGGGCAAGGGGGAGGGCAAGGGGGAAAATAGGGATTAGAAGGAGGCATGAAAAAGGGCTCAGGGGAGGCAGTATCTGCTGCAGCAGCCAGCACAGGTACATCCACCCACTCTGGTAATCCGGCTCGGTGACGACCACCTGGCGCACCAACTCAAACTCCGCGTCCAGTGGGGCGTGAGTCAAACGTGGTTTATTAATCGACTAAAAAAACCATCAACGCACCAAATCAAAGTCAGCGTCCAGTTGAGCTCTCACGTGCTGCTGCATTCCTCCTGCCCCCTGCCGTCCAATCCAATCCTCACCTTCTGCTGTGCCACGCGCTGTAGTTGCTAAAATTGGCGTTGATCCGCTCCAGCGTAAAGGCGAGGTCCTTGGTCACCGGTACGTGAGCGAGATGGGAGATGAACCTGCGAGGCCCGGTTGGGATGGGCACGAGGAAGCACAGAATTAAGGGCAGAAGGAAAGGCAGGAAAGGCACGGAAGGAAAGGCGGCATGAGGGTGGATCTGGTCCAGCGTAAAGGCTAGGTCCTTGGTCACCGGCCCTTGAGCCAGATGGGAGATGAACCTGAGAGGCAGGAGGAAGGGCGGAAGGAAAGGCAGGAGGAAGGGTGGAAGGAAGGGCGCCAGAGGCGTTGATCGAGTTAAAAGAAAAGACCGGGCCCTACATACCGGCACTCAGGCCAAGTGGGAGATGAACCTGGAAGGCAGAGACAGGCAGCCAGAAGGGGCAGGGAGTGGTGTGGGGTTCCATACCAACGCTGCCCTTTTCTGGAAAGAGCCATGCCTGCATTTCCACTGCACTCCGCCTCGTCATTGAAAGAGGTAGTGGAGTGGAGGAGAAGTAACTGAGTCTAGTTTTGAGGCGCCTCAAAGTGGAGGAGAAGTAACAGAACTCGTTCATTCGTGTGACACAAGTTAAGTTCTGAGACGTGTCTGTTCTGTTGTTGAGAATTCTCAAAGACGTCTGACTGAAGCAGAATGGACTTGTTGTATAGCCATGCCTGCCTCCATCCCCACTACACTCTCCGCTCCGCCTCGTCATTAGAACTCATTCTCACTCCTCTACAGCCAGTATCACTATCACCCCTCACAACCTGCCTCCACTCCAGTTACACACCTCCATCCAAAGCTCCAGGAATCTAAATTCCTATCGTCAGCCATCAGCATCAGCAGCAGCAGCAGCAGCAGCTTCTCTGACATGCCATCCAATCCCCCTTCATTCTCCCCGCCTCCCCCACTCCCCCACTCGCCCCCCCCCCCCGAAAAAAAACGAACGGCTATTTCAACAACTCCTCGTTAGAATCACGCACCTCCAGTAATCCCAGGCGTGGAAGTTCCTATCATCCGCACTCAGCATCACCGCCGGCAGCCTCTGCATTACCGCACCCATTATCACCGCTCTCTACCCCTCACCACTGTTACCTCCAGTATTCCCAGGCATGGAAGTTCTGATCATCTGCACTCAGCATCATCTTCAGCAGCTTCTGACCAGACCACACCTTTCACCACCGCTCTCCACCCCCCTGAATAACCACACACCTCCAGTAGTCCCAGGCGTGGAAGTTCCGATCATCCGCACTCAGCATCATCTTCAGCAGCTTCTGCTCCCGCGCGATCCGAGCCTCCGACCGCAGGTTGATCCGAACCTGCAGCAGGCTTGGCCCGAGGCTGGCTCCGAGGCTCGGGAGAGGCTCGGTGGAGGAGAGGGCGAATAGCCACTTGCGGTGGTGCCAGGCGCCGTAGCACTTGGGATTCGTTCTTAATGCAGTTTCTATCTGTTGTGTGTATGTTTGGGGGGTGGGGGGGGGAAAGGGGGAGAGGAAAAAGAACATCTTAGTAAACTCAAAAAGAGGAGCCGATTGGGAAGGGAAGTGCTGTCAGGCGCCCCAGAATAGTTGCTGTGGTGCCAACCCACGCGCCTCAGAGTAGTTGCTGTGGGGAGTGGGTTTGGCCCTCAAACTACTCACCAGTTTGAGCCCCTCATCAGCCAAATTCCCCTTGGATTCCTCCACCAACTCCCAACTCCAACTCCCAACTCCAACTCCCACTCCCACTCCCACCTATTGAGGCGCCTAAAAATTAGACCCCTTGGACTCCTGCACCAACTCCAACTCCCACTCCCATCTCGCATGCACTAACTGGCTTGCGGCTCCCCGTCAGAAAAGTGGAAGATCTTTATTTTGTAATCAACTCGAAAACAGACCAGGGGAAGGGGAATGGAGCCACACTCACCAGACTGAGCTCCTCATCTGCCAACTTCCCCTTGGCTTCCTCTATCAACTCCCACTCCCACTCCCACCTCGCTCGCATGCACTAGGGAAGGGGAATGGAGCCACACTCACCAGTCTGAGCTCCTCATCTGCCAACTTCCCCTTGGCTTCCTCTATCTTCTCCCACCTTGCATGTGCTGGCTGGCTCTATGGCTTCCCAATTAAAGGCGAAGGGAAAGCGAATGTCCTTGAGTCAAGGGAAGGGGAATGGAGCCACACTCACCAGTTTGAGTTCCTCATCTGCCAACTTCCCCTTGGCTTCCTCTATCTTCCTCTCCTTTTCCCTTCTCGCCGTTTCATCCCTCTCCCTTTCTTCCCCCTCCTGCTCCTCTCTCTCCTCCCCATCCTTTATTTCACCCCCCTCACTCTTCCCCCCCTTCTCAGCTCCCCCTTCCGCGCCCTCCGCCTGCCCTATCCCCCCATCCATCCCCACCTTCCCCCCCTTCCCCGCGTCCCCCACTCCTTGCACCTCTTTCTCGTCGCTTCCTTTCCCCTCCAACTCTGCTCCCCTCTGCTCCCTTCCCCCAATTTCTCCTTCCGCCCCCCCACCCTCCCCTTTCTTCGCCCTTACCGCCCCCCCACCCTCCCCTTTCTTCCCCCCATCCTCTCCTTCCTCCAGCGCGTGGCATCTGTGGGCGAAGGCCTTTTTGCGGTAGTTCCACGTCACGTACACGTCGGGGTTGAGCTCTAGAAGACTAGCACTGGCTGCTAGCGCTTCGGCAGAGTAACTGGGCGGAGATGGAAAGGCAGAAAGGGAGGAGGTGGGGTGGGCGGGGGGAGGGCGGGAGGGGAAGCCTTTTTGCGGTAGTTCCACGCCACGCACACGTCAGGGTTGAGCTCTAGCAGCGTCGCACTAGCGGCTAGTGCTTCGGGCGAGTATTTAGTGGGTGACAGACGTGTAGCGGAGGGGGAGAAAGGGGAGGAAGGGGAGGAAGGGGAGGAAGAGGGGGGGAGAAGAAGGGCCTTTTTGCGCTAGTTCCATCCCACGTACACCTCAGGTTCAACTTCAGGAGAGATGCGCTGGCGGCTTATGCTTCGGGCGAGTAACTGGTGGGCGTTGGAAAGGAAAGGAGCCGGGGGAAGGAAGGGGGGCAAGGGGAAAGGGGAGGCTCGCTTGCGTTAGTTCCACGTCACGTACATGCTGGGGTTCAGCTCCAGGAGATATGCGCTGGCGGCTAGAGCTTCAGGAGAGTAACTGGTGGGCATCAGCAAGGTGCCAGGGGGAGGACGGGAGGGGGGGGGAGGAAAGGGAAGTTCTTCTTGCGGTAGTTCCACGCCACATACACGTCAGGGTTGAGCTCTCGCCTCTAGCTGCTGATGCTTCGGGCAAGTTTCCTCCGGTGGGTGATAGAAATGTGGCTAGAGCTTCAGGAGAGTAGCTGGTGGGTATCAGCAAGGTGCCAGGGGGAGGAAGGGAGCGGAGGGAAGGAAGGGGGTGCGGAGTGGGGAGTGGTGGTGGTGGGTGATAGAAAGATGGGCGGGAAGAGGTTGGGGGGTGGGGGAGGGGGGGAGGAGGGGAGACGGGGGATAAGTGATTTTCTGGTAGTTCCACGCCACGTACACGTCAGGGTTGAGCTCTAGCAGCGTTGCACTAGCTGCTGATGCGTCGGGCGAGTAACTGTCAACTGTAGGAATCAGAGGCAGGAAGGGCAGGGGAACGGCAGGAGGTGCGGGGAAGTCGAGGAGGGGAAAGGGAAGGCCTGTTTGCGGCTGCTGTGGGTACTGTATGACCACGCCTAACAATGACCAGCTACAGTATATGCTGCAGCTACTGTAACTACTGTTGCTACTGTCGCTACTCTGGCTACTGTATCACCACGCATAACCATGATCCGCTACAGTATATGCTGCAGCTACTGTATCACCACGCATAACCATGATCCGCTACAGTGTATGCTGCAGCTACTGTATCACCACGTCTGCACTGCACTCTGCAAATAACCAATGCATGCAAAATGCCGTAAAGCAAGTCGCGTTGGCGGCAATCTTAGAGGCAATCGTAGCGACCTCCGCTACTCACACGTTCTGCTGGTGCCACGTCAGCACCTTCTCCTGCAACGCGCGCAGCCGAAGCGCCTTCTTGTTCGACTCCGCTGCCTTCTGCTGCCCCGCCGCGCTGCCCTCCGCCTTCACCGTCACTCGCGGCCGACCGTGCATCTCGCGCCGATCGACGATCCAAGGTCAGCGACGACGATCTGAAATATCTAAACGATCTGCCTGAATAATCTAAGCCTCTGAATTCAATTCGTTTGGTGAGACGCCTAAGAAAAATGTAAATGCTCTGTTCGAAAAATCCAAGCGTTTGGATGCTGACTGACGTCCGATCCTCCCTTCCCTCACACGCGAACCGCCTTCACCGTCACTCGCGGTGGCGGCCGTGAATCTCGACGAGAAACGCAACGTTATCGGAGATCGGTGAGGATGTTCTGAAATCCAAGGGTCTGGACGCGAGCTGACGTCACACGCAATCCGCCTTCGCCGTCACTCCCGGTCGACCGTGCATCTCGACGATGATTGCAACGATTGCGACTTCGCGAATCTGATCAGATTGACCTGAACGATTGCAACGATCTCGACGATTGCGGCCTACGCGGATGCAGCGATCACCGCCAGCCGTTGATCTTCAGGACAGACCCTTGGGAATGCGGATAGTCGATTTTGTAAGACCCGTTTAAAGTGGAACAACCTCCTATGATGGGCTTTGGTGAGCACTCCATGCGTTTACAAGTGTCCAGCTGAATAATTGATTTAAAATGACTAGATCGAAACTGCATTTCCATCCCAAAACATCAGCTCATAAATAACCCCAACGCAACTATACAAGCACAAATGCACCCCCTGAACGGTACCTGCCCTTGCTGCTAATAAAAAAGGTAAGCCCAATTTCTGCTGTCTTACACGGGCTATTACAATCCAAGCCCATCATCCATGACCTCACTCACTCACTCACATGGAAGGGGGTCTAATTTCAATGCAACGCACCAGCATCAAGCGACCGCAAGCAGGATGGCTAGCAGAAAGGCTACAATGCCACTGGCATGAAGCGTCCCGGCAACGGGTGGTGCGGCGGACTTGGGCGAGGGTGGTGGTGGTGGTGGTGTTGGGGGTGATGATGGTGGTGAGGGGGTGAGAGGGCTGATGGAAGGTGGTGCCACTGCAGGTGGTGGTGGTGATGGTGATGATGATGGGGATGGCGCTGCTGGTGGTGCTGCGGCTGGTGGTGATGCGGCTGGTGGTGCTGCGGCTGGTGGTGCTGCGGCTGGTGGTGCTGCGGCTGGTGGTGCTGCGGCTGGTGGTGCTGCGGCGGGTGGTTGTGCTGGTGGTGGCAGCGGCGGCGGTGTTGGTGATGGTGCCGCTGGTGGCTGGATTGGCGGGGCTTGTGGTGCTTCCAAGTTGAGATTGCAGACATGGGGGGAGGGGAATAGATGAGACAGAGTAAGAGGACAATCTTCGGAGAGCGAAACAAGATTGTGTAAGTGCTTAATCATGCTGGAGGCTGAATTGGCGGGGGTTGTGGTGCTTGCAAGTTTGAATTTGCAGTCATGGAGACAAGGGGAACGGATGAGACAGAGGCAACTGGAGAAGCTTAGGAGAAACAGCAGAAGAAGAACCGATGGAGAAGCAGCGTGAATGGAAAGAGGGCGAGGGTGAGGGTTTGAATAGAAGCAAGGAAGCCGGGAGGCAGGGAGGAGGGTGGAGGGCGGGAGGCGGGACTGATAAGCAGACGGAGTAGAAGGTGGAAAAGACAACACTTCACATTCACACAAAGAAAGGGTTTGGATGGAAGAGGGAGAGGAAGTGAGGAGCGTACAAGCAGCAGCGCATTGGGAGCAGAAGGTGGAGCAGTCGACACAGAAGACCGAGAGGGGGTCCTGAGGCACCTCACAGGAGGCTGGAGTGACGGGGCAGGTGAGAGACGTGTTGGCGATCTCACTGCAAGTGGCATGGGGGGGGGAGAAAGGAGGGATGGGGGGACAGTGGTGGGTAGAAGTAGCTGCTGAGACTTCGACACAGAGCACAGAGAGAGAGGGTCCTGAGGTAATTGAAAAGAGGCTGGAGTGATGGCGCATGTGAGAGACGTGCTGCCGAGCTCGCTGCACGTGGGACAGGGGAGGGAGAAGGGAGTCAGGGTTACAAGCAGGTCAGGGTTACAAGCAGCAGCGCCTGTAAAGATTGGGCGGGTTAGGGATGCGCTGCCTACCTAGCTCACTGATTGTGGGATGTGGGAGAGAAGAAGGCGGCAAGCAGGGATAAAATCAGCAGCAGAGCAGGCGTGATGCCTAGCGCATACAGTATGTGTGTCATGAGAGGGGGACGGGGGGGGGCAGCAGGGGGGCAAACTATGGAGAACTCAACAAAGGAAGGGCAGCAGGGGGTCAAACGAGGGAGAATCGAAGGGAGAAAGGCTAGCCCATAGGCTGATTGAACAGCAGGGTTCCCTACAGTAGGTTGATTGGATTGACCACCAGGCAATCGTGTTCCAATCCAACTCACAGGTACACGAGATTGGTGAGAGAGCCCAGGGTGGCAGGAAGAGGGCCCGTGAGTGCGTTGTACTCTAGGGCACTGGGAGCCAAGCAATGGGGCGAGTGGGAAGGGGACAAGCAGAAATGAGAGATACGGGGAAAGAAGGCCGAGGCGAGGGTGGAAGTTTTGTGGAAGAGGGAAACCCATTGAGTCAACTTAGAGGCGATAGGGGGAGTCACGAATCGGTGTGAGCTTTATGCAAGGATTTGAGAGGACGGGCAAGAATTTGAGAGGACCGGCAAGAATTTGAGAGGGTGGGCAATGATTTGAGAGGATGGGCAAGAATTTGAGAGGACGGGCAAGAATTTGAGAGGGCGGGATGGACTGACAGGAAGGTGAGGTGCTGCAGATTGCCGAGAGAGGAAGGGATGGAGCCTGATAGGTTGTTCTTGCTGACGTCTCTGCAGGGAGCAGGGGGGTTGCATTACAGGGATGGAGGAAGAAGAGAAAAGGGAGTGTTAAAAGTTTCGTTTCAAAAGACGTCTTTAAATTAGACTCAAACATGCGGGGCTGCATTACAGGGATGAAGGAAGAAGAGAAGGGTGAGGGGAGAGGGGAGAGAGGAGAGGGGAGAGGGGAGAGCGGAGAGGGGAGAGGGGAGAGGGGAGAGGAAGGGAACGACGTTACTGCTGGTATTGCTGCGTGAAGAGCAGCTATAGCTGGAGTGTAGAACTGCTACTGCACCAAAGAATCAGAGCGAGCGAGCAAGGCAACCATGATTTGAAGCGCCTAAAAGAGAGATGAAAGGGAGGCATGCGGATTGCATTGCCCGAGACAGATCACAGCAACTAGGCTCCTCCTAAGTGTGCTTGTGAGTTGAGTCGACTCAAAAGTCTTAGTCATCTCCTAAGCGTGCTTCGCCTAAAGGTCGGCAAGGTCACAGCGGATCTAGTAGAGACAGGCCACCAACCCACACGTGAGCAGTCTATTCTTTAGGCGCCTCAACAATAAGCATGCTTTGCCTACAGGTCAGCAAGGTCAACAAGGTCAGCAAGGTCAACAAGGTCAACAAGGTCAGCTCACAGCGTTTCCAGCAGAGACAGGCCACCAACCCACTCCGGGAGGGAGCTCGCAAAGCGGTTACCACCCAAAGTGCTGCAGGGGGAGGGTCGGAAGGTCAAGCACATGGGTTTTGGTTTGAGGGTTCTGACAGACTAGCCGCCGAGCAAGGGAGCTGGCGAAGCGGTTACAACCCCCAAAGTGCTGCAGGGGGGAGGGAATAGTTTCTTTCTTGCAGTCGAATCAAACAATCACCACCCACCCATCCAGTGCACTGTGCACTGCAGCGGGTATAAGAAGGGCGCGAATATGAGCTATGTTGGAGAATACGCGTATTGCGTTTTATACGCTAGCGTATATATGCTACACGCTTGGGTTTGGGGTCCAATATGGCAGGAATACGGCTGCCCGGGCAGCGGATTTTTTTTGCCCGGGCAGGCAAAAAAAACCGGCGGGCAGCCGGGAGAGGGGGGGGTGGGGGCCTGGGGGGGGGGGGCAGGGCATCAAGTTGATTTTTCTTTTCTCCATTAAAATAACTTAGCACAGGCATTTGTCACGTCACATCAAGAGTTTATCCAGGACCACATTCCCCTCCCCCCCAACAATGGCGCGGTTTCGAAATGCTTAAAAATAGGATGCGAAGCATCCGTTACGTAAACAATGGCGGAGGAGGAGGAAGCCTCGCCAACGTTAGTAGGAGCAGGCACGCTAGCAGGGGTTGATGGGGTGGACGCCATGACCACTAGAGAGAAGAACGAGTAGAACTAAGCCAAGCTTATCAAGGGGAGGGAGAGCTTGGAGTTCAAAAATGAAGAGAGATGGTGCTTCAGATCTGAAGTATGGCGGGAATGGGGGGGACGACAAACACGGGATGCCTTCCATCCACGTCCACACCTGGTGCAGGGGGAGGCGAAAAAGCGTGGACGAAAATTTGAGATTTCGCAATGCCGCGAACTCGTAGGAAAAAAAAATGAATCATTTTTTTTTTTTACCGGGCAGCCTGGGTATCGCATATCGCGTATTCCAAGCGTATCAGCGTATTGCGTATATTCGCTAGCGTATATACGCTATACGCTAAGCCTTCCGAGCGAATTTTCCAGCATAGAATATGAGAGCCGAGGAGTGGACAAAGGAAGAGCAGAACAAGGGAGCGGGTGGCTGGCATGTATGTAGGGAGGCACACGAGAGGTGGGAGGGAATTTTGCGAGCTGTAGCGGGGGAAAGCTTTTTAGGCGCCTCAAAAATAGAAAGGGCAGAGCAAGGTACAAAGAACAAGGGGTGGCTCGCTTGAAGGTATGCAGGGAGGCAGAGGCGAGGTGGGAGGGAAGTTTGCGAGCTGTATGTAGCAGCCGGATTCAGGTTGTGGAAGGAGCCAAAGACGAATCACGCCTTACCACAAGAAAAAGAAGAGTATCGCATCAGAACAAGAAGTGAGCTACTTATGAGCCGCCTCAAAAATCGCATCAGAGCAAGACGTGAGCTACTTACAGCCTGGAAAGGCGAGTGAGGGTCGAAAGGCCCTCAGGCAGCGACCCAGTGAGCTGGTTGAATTCGAGCAGCCTGGGCCATTGAGAGGAAGGAGAGGGGGAAGACGGGAGGAATGGGAGAGACGGGAAAGATGGGGGAGAGATGGGAGATGAGAGATGGGAGAGGGGGGAGATGGAGGAAGGGGGCCTTAAGGCAGCGATCCATTGAGCTGGTTAAGTCGAGCAGACTGCGTGATCACGGAGAGAGAGGGGAGATGGGCGGGAGGGGGCGGAGGAGAAGGGGAAAAGAGAGTACATGGGAATGGAAAGGCTTTGAGGGGGAGAGAGAGTACATAGTTTAACATACATATGTCGTGCTCTACTCTCTGGCAGGCACTGATACTCACTCACTCACTCACACTCAGTCAGTCACGCTCACGCACACTCACACGTCACTGAGGGCAGTCAGGGCAGTGATAGTTGATGGCAGTTCACCCGTGAGGGAGTTGCCCCACAGACTACTGCTCTGGCAGGCAGGTGGGGTGGGGTGGGAAGGGGGAAGGTGGGGGAGATAAGAGGATGCACACGGGAGGCTGTTCAACCGTGAGGCAAGTGGGGTGATGGTGGTGGGTGTGCATGCATGCAGGGTGGTGGGGGCATCAGCCGAATGGCATAGGTTGGAACTTGGAAGGAAAGAAGGAAGACACAAGGGTTCAGATCAGAGACATTGAGAGAAAGTTCACCAGTGAGCGAATTGCATGTAGGTGGGTGGGGCTGTGGGTATGCAGGTGTGGGTGTGGTACGGTACACAGGGGTGGAGGGAAGATGCAAGGGGTTCAGATCAGAGGCAAGAGGAAATTACAACGGAGGGTACGTTTTCAAAATAATATTTTCTGGCATGCAGATGAGGTGGGTGGCATGCAGATGAGGTGGCGTTGCTTATAGAGGTAAAGCGCAGAGAAATTGGGCCTACAGCTTACAGGTAGGAGAGGTTGATGAATGACCCCATAGATGCTGGTAACAAGCCGGACAGACCCGTGTTGTCAAGAACCCTGCACGGATGCATGTATTGAAAATGTGTGTGTGATGCTTTGGACCGACATGGTCAAACCAATCGGATCGTCCTCAGGTGCGGCTCTCAGCTTCCAGAAGGTTAAGAACGAATCAAGTGCGGTCCTTAAATCGGATTTCCAAAAGCGAAGAAGGGGTTTCCTCACATGCTGGTAACCATTCCGTTGTTGTCACATGTGATGCCATCTGCCTGGCTACAGTCACCCCCCTCCTTCCACTGGTTAAATGTCACTCCCCATGTCGCCTGACAGTCCAGTAATCCGGGCACTGGGGAGAGCAAGAAGAGGAAAAGAGGGATCTTCAGACGCCAGGCCACAATCACCCCCTCCCTGCCACTGGCTGAATGTCACTCCCCTTGCGGCCTGACAGTCCAGTAATCCGGGCACTGGGAAGAGCACGAGAAAAAGTCGGAGCCAGCGTTGACCAACCATGTACTGAAAGGCGAAAGCTGGAAGCTGAAATCAGTAATGAGCATTATCTAAAGCTCGAATCTGGAACCGACATTGAATGCAAACATTTAACACACTCGTGAAAGGTGAAACCTGAAAAAGCAACATTGACTAAGATTTCCGTGAAAGGCGGAACTTGAAAGCAACATTGACTGACATTTGACTGACATTGGCATGCAAGGGAGAACCCGGAAACCGACAAAACGACATGCCTTGAGATTGGGCGATGGTTTGGCCTTTCGCGACTGGAACCAATCCTCCGAAGTGGCTCAGCAGCGCCGCCACCAAGAGCGTGACGAGCGGAAGCACGTTAGCAAAAGGCCCGCGAAAGCTCGAGCACGAGCGAAAGCTCCGTGTCATCCTAGACCGCATTGCTACCGTACACAGTGCGCACTGGATAGACCAGCGTCCGCCGAGTTTATGAAGTGCGCGCGCTAAGACGCTAGGAGGCTTCAACAGCCAGCGTCTGGCAACGGGAAGGCGAGTCCACCTGAACCAGCAGGAGCTTCGAAACTAGGCTCCTGCTGCTGCTGCTTGGGGGCGAAACCTGAACTGAGCAGGACAAGCGATTTCAGTTGAGTTCCCAATCCCAAGGGAATTTCCAGAGGACGTAGGTTTCGCTATGGCTGCATTCCTTCAAAGTTACAAGGAAATAGGAGGTGCATGTTGAGGTTAACAACAACACTGATTGTTTGAATACTCATGTCTTCATTTTCTCTTCGAATTTGTATCAACAATAAAATTTCCAGGAACGAAAAAAAAAATGTATTGAGCCTCTTTTGACTTATAAAAAATGTGTGGCCGGAGTTGGACTGAAGGAGCTCATACGAGAAGACTGAAGGGTTCTCAAATTATCTGTGGATTCATACGATAAGAATATATTGGAGTAAACTACGTATTAAGGGTGGTCAGAATCTAGAGTTGGTGGAACCGAGTAGAAGTCAGCGAAAATCTTTACTCTTAGAGTAGCGGAATGAAGTAGAAACAAGGGTACATAATAGTTTTAACCTAGTTGTAGTCTCTAAAGACATACACCTAACTAGCCAATGATAACGTATGCATATATGTTTGACTCACCCCCTAGGCTAGACAAGGGGTAGTGCTTGGGAAGAGACATGCAACTCAGGGTGGCACTACTAGTCCAACCTCTGAGGCAAGGGTCCGAAGACCAGTCAGAAGAGTACAAACAAGACAAGAGCAAACCAGGGCGGCACTACTAGTTCTGCCACTGGAGCAGGGGCCACACAACCAGTCAGGAGAAAATAATAAGAGTAGTACACAATCAAGGACCTAGCAAGAGAGGAGCTACGGGAACTAGACCTACCTATATACAGTGCCGCTGATAATCTTTAGGCGCAAGCGCCTTAGTAAAGATATCAACTGTGTTGGCACGGGGGGCCACGTGAACTACGCGAGCCTGGCGGCGCTGTTGTAACTCGTGCAGGAGGAAGTACCGCAGCTAGATGTGCTTCGCTCTGCCCTCCAGTCGAGGCTCCTGACAAAGTAGGATCATGGCCCAGTTGTCAGCGTACAGGACTGGGGCAGAGCTAGGCCACTCACCTAGGTCTGTGAGCAAAAAGGCCAGCCAGTGGAGCTCCTATGCCGCCATGGCACCAGCGTAGATCTCAGCCTCACAGCTAGACTAGGCAAGTGAAGACGAGCGGGTGGACCTCCACGAGATGACGCCTGCACCAAGGCTAAAGCAGTAGCCCTGGGAGCTCCTGAGTGCCTCAGAGTCGTCTGCCCACAAGGTGTCTGTGTGCGCTGTAAGGACCACATGCCCTGCGTCCTCCTAGCACTAGCCCCATGCTCGATGTACTTGCTAGATAATGCAAAACCCTCTTAGCGGCCAACCAGTGCTGTGGTCGGTATCTGCCTGTGGCCACGAAGTGAGCCAGGATGGTGAGAGGGTATGCGAGATCTGGACGAGTGCAAGTCATCAGATACATGAGGCAGCCCACCAGCTCTGCATAAGGACCACTAGGCTCTATAGACTCCTCAGGAACTGGAGCCGAGAGCATGTAATCTACTGGCAGAGGTGTGGGCTGTGCGGAAGAGAACTGAAGGCCGAACCTCTTAAGGACCTGGCGCACGAAGTATGACTGTGTAAGAGTGATGGTGCGCGCTGCTCTGTCCCTGGAGATCTGCAGGCCAAAGTAGCGGCGCAACTCTCCAAGATCATTGAAGATGTGTCTCCTCAGCAGTTCAGCCTTCATGGAGGTCAGTGCGCCTTAGTCTGCAGTAGCGAAGACCAGATCATCTACTTAGACAAGGATGTAGAACGGGGTCTGGACAGAACGAAGGAAGAGCCAGGGGTCTGCAGACGACGGGAAGAAATGCAGGTCAGCTAACATAGCATGCAGCGTGTCGTGCCACTCGCGGGGTGCTTGCCACAGGCTGTAAACCGGGCGCCTGAGAAGCCACTCGGTCCGAGGGGCGAAGGTGCCGGTGAAGCATGGCGGACGACGCAGGTAGACCTGCTCGTGCAGACTGCCCTGTGAAAAACGCTGTAGAGAAGTCGAGGGAGTGTAGCTCGTAGTCACGCTGTGCTGCTACATGTAGCAGTGCCCGAAGAGGGGTCATCGTCGGGGTCGGGGCGAAGGTCTGAAAGAACTCGACACCCTCGCGATGACTAAACCGGCGGAGGGAACACAGGGCCAAAGACAGGAGGGAGAGGCTGTGCAAGAGGAGGAATAGCCGGGCGGTCGGGGGAAGGAAGACCAAGAAGGCGAAGGGTGGACACCGGCGGTGACTGCTGCTCCGGCAGTTGCGGTGGCTGTGGCCGCTGCTGCTCCACACCACGGTGACCTCCAGAACTCTCCATGACAGCACCCCCAGAACCAGCACCCTTTCCAGCACCTGTGCAACCTCCCGGACCGCCGAGATGAGCCACGACAGTAACCCCAGGACTAGCACCCCTAGGGGCAGCACCCTCTCCAGCACCCTCCTTAACGCCCGCACCCCTAGAGCTTGCAAACCCCCTGCGGCGGTGGCGGTGGCGATGGCTGATGCTATGGCGGCGGCTGCTGCTACGGCAGTGACAGAGGCGACGGCGGCTGCAGCAGCTTCGACGGCGGCGACTGCGGGGAAGGAGGAGACACAAGGGCGGAGACAGGCAGAAAACTTGGAGCTGTAGGGCCACCAGAGTCAGCCGACTCCTCCACCGCGACGACTGACGGAAGGGGAGTGACGTGAGACACACTAGACGGGGCAGGACGGGGAGGGAGAGGAGCAGGGGCTACCGGGGGAGCTGGGACCTGGAACAGGGGCAGGGTATCCACGAGACCTTGGTGGGAAAAGCGGGCGAAGAAGGAGACAGACTCGTCAAAGGTGACGTCACGCAAGTGAAAGAAGCGGTGAGACGGCGGGTGGTAGAAGTGCCAGTCAGACGCATCGAGGGGGAAACCAAGGAAGACACAGGGGACGGTGCGGGCAGTGAGCTTGTCCGTGCCGGAGGCACGAACGTGAGCGAGGCAGCCCCAGACGTGGAACGCAGACGCGTCACCTGGGGATCCGGTCCAGAGGAGGATCGGCGAAACCTGCGGCAGCTGGGAGTGTGGCCACATGTTAAGCTGGTGAGCGGTGTAGCGAACAGCGAACGACAACAGAAAATGAGGTGCACCGGCATGGATCATGAAGGTACAAGCCACCTTCATGACCAAGCCGATGCGTCCCTCAGCGAACCCATTATGCTATGGAGAGTCTGGAAGGGTGTACGACTGGGTGATGCCCTCCGCACGATAGAACTGGCCAAGCCATCCGGAGGCGAACTCGCCGCCACGGTCGGAGTGGAGAAGTAAGACAAGGAGACCACGGTGGACTTGTGCAGCTACGAACCACGAGATACGAACGTCAAGCACGTCGGCCTTCCGCTCCACGGAAAACACCGTGGTGTAGTGCTATAGTCATCAACTAGGACCAGAAAGTAGCGCTCGCGATGCGGCCCAAGGACCGGCCCCAGACGTCCATGTGTAGGGTCTGCAGTGGTGCAGTGGTGGGGGAAAACAAGGAGGAGCGAGGGGTACGGCGCAGCCGGCCCTCGAAACAAGGCATCCACGGAGGCGCGGGCGAGGGAGGGAGAGCAGGGAGCAACGCAGGGAGACCTAAGAGAAGACCGTGTTGGGACATGTGACGTAGACGCGGAAGTGCAGGGTGACCTAGGCGGTGGTGCGATAGCAGCGACGGGTGAGTAAGCGACCGACACGAGCAAACCACAACAACCTAGGTGGGCGCAGACACCGGGAGGGACGCTCTCAATGGGGGGGACACAGTGTCTAGCATAAACAGGCCAGACACCCAGTCCCGGGGGAACATCGCAAGAGGGGCACGTGAGGCGGCCTCGGTACAGACTGCGTACCCCTTGTGTCCAGGGAACGTAGTGGTGACGCCGAGGTCCTGAAGACAGCCGACACCAACTAGGTTCGTGGAGAACGAGGGGATGTGCAGGCCCGTAAGCGAGCCAGAGGGAACCGCCGGATAGGGAAGGGTGGTGGAGCTACGAGCAACTACAGGACTGGAGGAGGGGTCAGCAAGCGGGATAGCGGCAGGAGCGGCAAGCGGCGCGAGCGTAGTGTGGTCGTGCAAGAAGCAGACAGACGTGCTAGAGTCAAGCCTAAAGGAGAGCGAAGCGGAAGCCGCAGCCGGCAGAGGAGTGAGCGTGGAGCATAGACTAAATAAGGCAGAAGATCCTACACGTGGCGTAGCAGGGGAGTCTAGACTACACACAGGAGGCACGCTCAAACTAGGCAGCACATGGTACTGTAATAAGACCCGGTCAAACTAGAGGCATCGGCATACAGGGAATGCAAAGCAGAACAAATATGATCCATGTCTAACTCAAAAACAGGCACACCGCGGCGAACCAAACTGGGCCAGTTGGGGAGGTCCGGCGCTGGGTCAAAGCGGCGCCAAAAGAGTTTGTCGAGGCGACGGAAACAGTGGGCGGCAGTGTGCGGATGACCACATACAGTGTCGCAGAAGGGGCGGGTCTGGAGCTGGTAGTGGCAACCCCTAGCGCCGAAGCTGCCACCTGACGCCGAGCGGGGAGGGCCGCCACCGCGGCCACCACCACCAGAGGCACCGGGCCACCCCGGCGGGATGCGGCCCCACGACTGCTGCTGCTGCTGCTACTGCGACTGCTATTGTGGCGGCTGCTGCTGCTTCTAGTGCTAAGGATGCTGCTGTTGCTGCTGATCCGAGGCACCAGCCCCGGTCCCCTCGTCGGAACCACTGTCCCCGCCCCCAACTCCACTACCCCCAGCACCCACACCACCCTTACCTCCCCCACGCCCCCCATTGGGGCGACGACCCCTACGCTGACGTGGCTGCGCTGAGGCCGCAGCGGCGGTCTCAGTGGCAGGGGCTATCTCAGCGACAGCGGCTGTCTCACTGACAGCGGCATAAACGTCAGCGTAAGTGCATTGGGAGGGCGCACAGCCCTGAAATATGGGGACTGCCACAGTACCACTCGACTGAGCGATAGTGCGCTGACGAGTCTCTATCTCAGACAAGGCAGTGACAAAGGCAGTAAGGGTGT